AAAAAAAACACTTAAAGATAAATAAAATGGCCCTAATCTATGTAAAAAGAAATAAAAATGAACTAAGACAGCAAATGTATGATAGAATCAATATAATAAAGGTTTGTAAACAATGACTCTGGTATTAACTTAAAAACAGCATGGAATAGGAAAAGCTATTAAAATGAATAATGTCGATTATAAATTTAATTGATTAAAGAATTATGGATATGGCGTGATTTAAAGCACTTAACTGTGATTGCGATCATAGAGATTGTTTACATTTTGTTATGGGGAATAGAACACCATTAACATGGGAAAGTGATGTCTCTTTGAAATTTAATATAAAGTCAAAGAATGGGTGAAAAATTAAAAACAGGGTGACGAACAATTGAAAACATTTGGGGGAACAACATATAAAAAATTTAGATAGAAATAAAAACGTTAAGATAAAAATTTGAGTGTCCAAAGTCAGAGTTCACAAAGTACTAATTTTAACATAGCGATAGCCTATACCTGGGAGCGTCAAAAAATTGAAAGATACTGAAAATTAGAGTACCAGACCACCGGAAAATGAAAAGTTAATATATTTAAATAGAGAATCGCATGGAGGATTGAAATGAAATGCTTTAAATTTGAAAAAGAGTCGATAAGTTAATGAAAATTTAAGCCAAAGATAGCAATGATTACCACTTGCAGTGGATGACATGTTAAAATGGCGATCTGACACTCTAAGCCTAAATCAATGGAACATCGGAAATCTAAAACTTGAAAACGGAAAAAGAGGCCTCCCAGAGGCCGGAAAAGACTCACCAGGGATGCCTTGGAGTGCTACATGCTGCTTTTATTAAGAATTGGGTAGAACAAATAGATATTTAACGCTTTTATTAGCGATTTTTTGGAGCTCCGAATGAAGATGTTGCTTGTGTGGGAACTAGATCCCCGCCTCTTACGGAAAGGGGACTCCAACCCATGATTCGTCCACTACTGAGGATATTTGACGTCAGCACTGTGGTCGGTGCAAGCCGGATGCGGAATTCGTATCGACAAGCCATCGCCGGGATCGAACCACGGTTCACCTCATTGGAAGGCGAACGCCCTAATCCATGAGTCATCGCAGCTCTGAGTATTTTGTTTTATTTTATAACCGTCGTTGAGCAGCCGACCCAACATTGGGTTTATGACAACTAATGTTCAACTCCGTAGTCTTATAATTTTGATCCAATCCAGAAGACAAGGAAGCTCCTGGATCAGTACCCCCCCCCCCNATCTGTACCCCCCGAGGTATTGACTTGTTATGGGAACATGGAGAACTTTGAGACACGACAGATTTAACGTGCATCAGTCACCATATTTTGTTGTTAAGTTTGGAAATTTCGAAAATTCTTAATGTTCATTGCTAATGTTTGGAGGTGAGGAAAGACTATAAAGAAAATTTTATCACAGCTGCTTACTGTAATTTTCAAAACGTGTTCCCTCTACACGTTTACAGTAAGTAACTGAATAACACATAAAACTGATTTTTTGGTGTTTAGGTATTCTTTTGAATATCTAAACACCAAAAATTCAATTTTATGTGTTATTCCAACTCCCAGTGGCTGAGTGGTAGCGCTTTGCGCTCTCTGAGTGGTAGGGTGG